CTTTTCTCAGCAAAGTAATGTCTCTGCTTTTTAATATGCTGTCTGTTTGTCATAACTTTTCTTCCAAGAAGAAAGTGTCTTTTAATTTTTTATAGCTGCAGTCACCATCTGTGGTATTTTTGGAGCCCATGAAAATAAAAGTCTGTCACTGTTTCCCCATCTATTTGCCATGAAGTGGTAAGATCAGATGCCATGATCTCAGGTTTCTGAATGTTGAGTTTTAAGTCAACTTTTCCACTCTCCTCTTTTACTTTCACCAAGAGGCTCTTTAGTTCTTCTTCACTTTCTGCCATAAGGGTGGTGCATCTGCATATCTGAGGTTATTGATATTTCTCCTGGCAATCTTGAATCCAGCTTGTGCTTCATCCAGCCTGGCATTTCACATTATGTACTCTGCATATAAAGTTAAATAAGCAGGATGACAATATAAAGCCTTGACATACTGCTTTCCCAAATTGGAACCAGTCCATTGTTCCAAGTCTGGTTCTAACTGTTGCTTCTTGACCCGCATACAAGTTTCCCAGGAGGCAGGTAAGGTGGTCTGGTATTCCCATCTCTTTAAGAATTTTCCAGTTTCTTGTGACCCACACAGTCAAAGGCTTTAGTGTAGTCAATGAAGCAGGAGTAGATGTTTATCTGGAATTCTCTTGCTTTTTCTATGATCCAACAGATGTTGGCAATTTAATCTCTGGTTCCTCTGCCTTTTCTAATTCTAGCTTGAACATCTGGAAGTTCTCAGTTGATGTACTGTTGAAGCTTGGCTTGGAGAATTTTGAGCATTACTTTGCTAGCATGTGAAATGAGTGCAATTGTGGGGTAGTTTAAACATTCTTTGGCATTGCCTTTCTTTGGGATTGGAATGAAAACTGATTCCAGTGAAATGGAATTCCAGCTGAGCTATTTCAGATCCTAAAAGATGATCTGTTAAAATGCTACACTAAGTAAGCCAGCAAATACGGAAAACTCAGCAGTGGCTCCAGGTCTGGAAAAGGTGAGTTTTCCAGTCCCAAAGAAGGACAATGTCAAAGTAATTAAGTAAAACTTGACAAAAAAATGAGAGTGTCGTATCTTTTTTATTTTGAAACTTTCCAAAAGAACTTTCAGTTGAGGGTGCAATTTTGAGATTGATTGTTGTTCAGCCACTAAGTCATGTCTGACACTTTGTGCCCCATGGACTGCAGCACATCAGACTTCCCTGTCTGCCATCTCCTGGAGCTTGCTCAGACTCATGTCCATTGAGTCAGTGATGCCCTCCAACCACTTCATCCTCTGTTACCCCCTTCTCCTGCCCTCAATCTTTCTCAGCATCAGAGTCTTTTTCCAACGGTCGGCTCATTTGAGACTGACAGCTAAAACTAATTGTTAATAGAGAATGAGGGGGAAGGGAACTGATTTCTCCATGTGACAGGTGCTTTCACATATGTTCTTTCATTTCTTCACAACAGTCTCATGAGGTAAGTATCATCCCCACTTACTGATGAGGAAACTGAAGCTCAGGACTTCCCTGGTGGTCCAGTGGCTAAGGCTCCACACTTTCAATGAAGGGGGCCCAGGTTCAATCCCTGATCAGGGAACTAGATCTCACATGCCACAACTAAGAATTGGCATGCCGATCCCATATGCTGCAACTAAAGTTCCTGCATGCCAGAACAAAGACCAGACATAGCCAAGTAAGTAAAAAGAAATATTAAGAAAAAAATAAAGTGAAGCTCCAGAGCAACTTCTCTAATGAATCAGAGCTCTGAATGGCAAACTCAGTATTCTGAAGCCCCTTCTATCAGCATTACTTAATGAAAAAAGTAGAGGAATTAGTACTACCACAGGATGCTTCTTCCAGAATCAAAAGAGATGATGTTCACAAATGCCTTTCCAAACTAAAATATGTTATATAAATAAATGTAAAGTAGTAATTACACATGCATGCCTGGTCAGTTGCTCAGTCCTGCATGTCTGACTATTTGTGACCTCATGATCTGCAGCCTGCCAGGCTCCTCTGTCCATGGAATTTTCCAGACAAGAATACTGCAGTGAGTTGCCATTTCTTTCTCGGGAGATCTTCCCAACCCAGGGGAGATCTTCCTGTGTCTCTTCCATCTCCTGTATTTGCATGTGGGTTCGTTACCACTGCATCATCTGAAAAGCCCTAGGATTCCATAAGAAGTAAGATAAATAGATATCCAATTTCTATCATTTGAGCACAATGCCTTGAATAAAGCATCTAGTGGACTAGACATCATTGACAGGCATTTTAATCTTAATGCTTTACTTTTATGTACTTTTTAAAAAACAGCATTTATTTAGCTTTTGTACTGGCAGGTGGTTACGTTGAGTCCATCACATATCGTTTGTATAATTCAGTGTTCATGGGGCACAAACACAAGATGTGTTTTGCAACAAAAGACAAAAATAAGGCGTGGTTCCTGCTCAGATACATAAAGTATGTATAAGGACAGAAAACTTTATCTTTAAAAAGTTTTTTGCATGAAAAGTTTCCAAGTCTTTGGTGATAATCAATGAAATACCTTAATAAAGGTTTTGCAATGGGAACTAACGAGAAAGTACATATTCAAATACTATTAGAAAAGACTGGTTTGGTTTGTCAGGTAAAATGAACAAAGCAATTCTCAACTGATGGCAAGAAGATGCTTCCGTGGCTACCAGAACATTTGGGGCTATAACCAAAAGGCTATGATTTTTTCAAAACAAGAGGGCACCTTCTACCTTTGATTCAATTTCATTTCATTTATCTGAAAAATTCAGTTAACACCGAAGGGAACATTGGTCTTTTTAGTTTCTAAATGGGAGAATGTATCTAAAAATATAAGAGGTACCAAGATGAATACCAAGAAAAATAAACAGTACAATGAGGTGCTAGAAAAAAATTGGGAAAACAACAGAAATGAGAGGGAAGAGTCAAAGGTAAAGACCAGCGCTTCCCTGGTGGTCCAGTGGTTAAGAATCCACCTGCCAATGCAGGGGCTGTGGATTCAGCCCCTGGTCCAGGAAGATCCCACATGCTGAGGGACAGCTAAGCCGTGCATCACAACTAAGCCCATGCTCCAGAGATGGCAAGCTACAACTACTGAAGCCTGCAGGCTCTAGGGCCTGTGCTCCCCACAACTAGAGAAAGCCTGCATGTAGCAACAAAGACATAAAAACAAATATTTTAAACAAGGAAAAATATACTGTAAAATATTTAATAAAAAATAATTGTATAATCTATACAGTATTGAATTAAAAGTACAACAAATTATTTGCACTTCTTTCCAAAACCACATACAGTACAACTTGCAAACTGGATTCAGCATTCTACAAATAGTACCACACACACCAAGATACGAACTTATTATTCTCTTAAATAAGTAAAAGCTCTGATTGTATACAACAAACTGTGACTTAAATTCCAGGGAAATACTGCTTTAGTTACATGAATAGTTTGTGCCACAGTCTATTATTAAAAAAATTAAATTCCTCAAATATCATTTTTCTGCTTGTTTCTGAGTACACATTCCCTATGTAGCAAAATAAAGACAAAATGCAAAATTGAGGCTGCTGTTTATGATATCACTTCCTTTTTCCTTCCTTAGCTAATGCTCTTCTCCTTTCTCTTATTCAGAAAGGAAGGTGACTGGAAAATGACTTATTCTTATCCTCATTCATTTGCTTCTGGAATTCTTGCTTACATAAATGAATATGTCAGTTTTGGAATCTTGACATTACTATTCAGTATTTACCTATGTCATTCTAAAAAAGTTGACCTAGGTTTTTTTTTTAAGATAAGGCAACAAAATTGGCTTTAAAATAGTTATGTCTCATATATGCTAGCAGTCACTTGGTAGACTAATTTCCCAATTAAATGTACACATAATAACATTTTTCAAGTAACTTGGAAATGGAATCAATAGCAATTCTTATTTTAAGCAGATATTCAAGATGATCCACCTTTAGAAACAAAGGCAAATTTAATATACAAAATGCAGGAACAAGTCCATCCTAGTTCCTGTCCCACCAAAATAAAGTGGCTCAGTTTGTGAAAAAGACCTTGGAATAATCCAACAGTTAATGACACCTTTATCTTGGATAAGAAGGACAAATAATATAAATGCCATAAATGGACATGAAGTTATTTTAAGAGAAGACTTTCCCATTTTATTTTGGAGATAAAAGGGAATGCAGATACAAAATGGACTAGTTATGCCTTTAGCCCACTTAGTAACTTTTCATCATAAAATTAATAGTCCTTCATACTGAAGAATAAAAGACAAGTAAACCTACCTTAAGTTTTCTGATTAGGTCACTTATATTATTAGTAGGCCTCAAAACTTGCCTTATTTTTTAACTAAATTAGCTTCTCTGGGAAGCATATGAATAATGTAAAAATACACTTCTAAGAAAAATCAACACAAATACATAACAGTCAAGATGGGCAGTGAGAGTATTTACACAATGAATTTTTAAAGATAACTCAGAATTAACACATATTCTTTATAGAGCCAGGGCAAATGCTGTCATCTGTAGAAACAAATGCACATGAGTAACAAGGACATGAGAACTATGTTGAACAAAGGCAGATGCTATTAGAACACTATTTCGATTCTGACTGTAACATCCTGTGGCCTGTGAAACCCTGGTCCCAACAGGCCAAGCATCTGGCTAATCAGACACAGAAGTAGAATACTTGACCTATGAAACACCAAACTCACTTGTGAGCATGTGTACATTACCATGTGCTGCCTGACTGCGCTTGATTCTTGGCTTTCAAAAGCAAGTTCACTTTTGAAGCAGGAAAAACGCATTGTTAAATTGGCTCTCGTAAGTATTCCAAATACTTCATTTCTCAACTGTATTGTTACTCTGGGAAGACAAGGTATAGTCAACTGGCTGCTTTGAAGTCATGAAATGCATACTCATAAATATGTGTCTACACTTTAAAAAATTAAATATATCCGGTCACAGCGGTTGTGCAGAATTCTTGCAATATGAAGCTCATTTGCAGTATGTTATGAGGGGGCCACTTGAGAACTTGATTCTGGATCTTCTTGCTTTCTATATTTCTTCACAATACTGATTGTACCGTTAGCCAGGAAAACCAGAGCGATGAGTGCAAAGTAACCAGCATAGATGAAGAACTAAAGGGGGGGGAAGAAGTAATTTACAGAATTATCCACTAGAAGGTCAGCTCTTCTATTACATATATGTGAACACTATCATTAAAGATATGTTCAGTTTCTCAATACAATTTCAGAAAGCACCGTGTGCTTACACAACGTGCCAGGCACTGAGGATACGAGGCAGGACAGCATGGCGACACTGGCGCCTGACTGCCCGGGTGCCAATCCCGACTACCCACTTACCAGCTGTGTGGCCTGGATGCAGACTCAGTGCCTGAGCCTCAGCTTCATTTACAACCCATTTTGTAATTCATAATACATCCTGATTACAGAGTTGTTGGGAAGGAATGGGATTCTGTATGTAAATGTTTATTGACACAATGCTAATACTGTTAATATTACTGGTTTTCATTTTTGTTGCTGTTCTAAATGAATCCTGGTCTCTACCCTCAAGTCAACTAACTCAAGCTGATATGAGGCCAAATTCTGAAGATCAAGAATTTCCACTCTTTCCCAGAAGAGGGCAGTAGAAGGTCAACTATATTCCATTGTAAGATAACTTTTTATAAGTATCTTCTGTAAGCCATTTTTTAATGTGATTATATGATTTATCAACATCATCATTATTAAAATAACTTACTAAATACTGATAAGCTGGTTCATGGATCCAGTAAGCATGCCGCTCTAACCCTCTCTGCATGCATGCTAAGTCGCTTCAGTCATGTCTGACCCTTCACGACCCCATGGACTGTAGCCCACCAGGCTCTGTCCGTGGGGCTCTCCAGGAAAGAACACTGGAGTGGGTTGCCAATTCCTTCTCCAGGGGATCTTCCTGACCCAGGGATCGAACTCACTTCTCTTAAGTCTCCTGCACTGGCAGGAGACGACTTCTTTAACACTAGCGCCACCTGGGAAGCCTAACCCTCTGAGCCAAGTCCTTTAAAATTTGGATACATTTTCCTATAGGAAATCGGTTAATTAATCATGGCAGTCACGAGTTTGAGCATAGCCCACAAAATTATTATTCCATACATTTAAACCCACCACTTCTGTAGCGATATGACAAGCACTTACTCTCCTACCCTCCATCCCAAATGAAAGCACTTAACCCTTGAGAGGTCTTCCTGACGTTTTTATTGCAGGTAGTAACTGGGAAACACGTAAGTCATAATTACTTAAAAGACAGTAATAAGCTCCCATTCCTCTGCTCTATCCACCTTTCCCCTACCCTTTTCTGAGGCAGCATATTGCAGAGGGAGATGCCTAGGTTTCTGAGTCAGATGTTGCTTTGAATCCTGGTTCTGCCATACTATTATTGACCATGACCTTAAACAACACATCTCTTAGATTCATTTTCTTGACGTCTAATCCTGACAGCAACCCTGCAAAATTCTATATAAAGTACCTGGCACACAGAGGCACCCAACACACATTATCTGTTGTTTCTCTTTCAGATCTCCTAGGTAAAAACAAAGTTAATTACTGCTACATATCAGGTCTTTGTATTCTAGGAAAACTAATACATAAGTGGGAAGAACAATGGAGATAGAATCTTTTGAGCTGAGGTGAGCTGGGGTAGGCACTTTTTGATTCAATTGCCCATTTTGCTAAAGTACATCCCAAGCCCTATTTACAACTCACAATGAGTGAAGCCATTTACAACTATACAATTCCAGAGTGAATAAACGTATTCACACTGTCTCTGGGTGTTTGTACAGGTGTTTTCTCAATAGGTCATGTGTAATGCTAGTCATCAATAGCAAGTCATTACCTTGGTATTTGGGTGGGGGTGTTTAAAGAAGGGAGGAGACTCAGAGAGCTCTCAAGTGAAGCAGGCATCTCAAACACGGGATACAGTATTCCAGGCACAGAATTAAAAATGGAGAGAAACAATGGGTGAGGAAGCAGAAGGTCTAGGTCCAGATGGAACCAACACTACCTCTCAGCTCCACAAGGCTGGATAATCACACTTAGAAATGTCTAAGGCCTCATCAAAGAGATGATGGTCTCAGCATCCTCCTGGTAGAAAGGAACTAAGGGTGGGGGATAACTGAAGGAAGGAAAGAACACTTTTACTTTCAATTTTCTATCTGTCTATAGTGTTTGAATTTGTTTCCCTGAAGCATGCTCCACTTCTGTTACCCTGATCAACCCATGACATCTTCAGTATTGAAACAGACCTTACCTGAGTGGTAATTTCCAAGCCAAGGCCACTGGCATCTACCACAATTAGAGTGAGCAGAGTCTGCAGTGCTAAGGCAATGAAGGTATTTACACCAAACACTAGGGCATAGCGCTCCATGCTAAGGTTTGCAGCAATCTGAAAACTTAAAAAATAAATAAAAAGAATGCATAGATAAGAATTACTTCAAGGATAGTTACATTTTTTTATTCCAAATGTGAAAAGTAGCCCAAACTTTTCTACTGTCAATTCCCTTCCCAACCAAGTGAAGAATATTCTTTTGCTAAATGATGTAAACCTCATGCAAATGTCTGAAAACAGTAGAAACACGAACAAGGAAATAAATGAAACTTGCCTAAATGCTTCCTCAGAAGAAAAACTGATAATGCACTTATGGTATAATGCTTCCTCCCATTTGATCTTGAACCAGAAAATTTAATTTGTAAAGAAACCAAAAAGTTAATTCTGTTACAGCTCTTCCTAATGCTTCTTTGAATCGAAATACATACGTTGCTATCGTGATGAGTAACATGTAGATGATTCTGAAGACAACGTAGGATGCGTAGCACACCCAAATGTTACCCACAGTGTCCATGATATACACTGCAGCAGCAATCAGGAGAGAGAACAGAGACAATGCCAGTTCTCCCCAAGTGGACCAGGATATTTTTATATAACCGACTGCAAACACTGCAACAGCACCTACAAAACAAAAACAGAAAAGTAATTACTCATCTTGCTAAACAAGTACTATTTCACTAAATGAAAAATTTACCTTAGATGATGACATTTTAAGCTCTTTAAATTTATAACCAGGGTAGCTCAAGATTATGGAGGCCCTTGAAAGTTAGGCAGAGATTTTTGGACCAGAGAGATGATGAGAGCCTGAATTAGGGCAGTGGGTAATGAGATGGAGAAGGAGGACACAGAACCAGGGGTGCTGCTAAGGGAAAGCTACTGAGATGGAGGCAGAGGCAAGAGTCAAAGAGAACCATCCTGCCTGTAGCTTGGCAACATGGCAGGATGGTTGATCTCTCCTCCAATCTGAGGGGCAGTTCATCACGTGATCAAATGATAGTGATGAGGATAATGAGAGCTAAATGGTATGGAGTGCTTTCTAAGTGCTGGTCACAGTTAAAAGTGTTCACAGAAGTCCTGTATGATCTTCTAAGACCTATGAGGTGGATCAACAAATTAGAAAGGAACGACAGATGCTAATGGCCAAGGACATAGGCTCTGAGTTCAAACCTCGACTTTACCACTGACCATCTATATGACCTTGGGTAAGTGATTAACATATCTTTCAACAGCTTCCTTAATTGGAAAATGGGGGTAATAACTGCAACAAAGGAATTCTGTGAGGATGGTGTTAATATACATAAAGTCTTTAGAACAGCACCTGCAACACAACATATACTAGCTACTATTGTTAAAGTACTGAACAGTGCTGCTCGAAGTTTCACACATGGCAAAAGCACGCAGTCAATCGGAGATAAAGGAAACCTGGGTAAGAAAACAATTTACAGGATCCTTACATTAGGTTTCCCAAAGATTATAAAGAACTCAAGTTTGTTAGTCACAGTCCCCCCTGAATGTACACTTCAGAACTGTCATCCTAAGGATAAAATCAAAGTGAACAGAGTAAACAAACCATCTCTGAGGTGACTTCAAACTTGAGAGGGGAGGGAAACTCTGATCATGGCCAACTAAACTACCAGAGGACTCTCCCCACCCAACCTTCCTTACCGCCCAGCACCGCTTACCCAGTAAGGTTGAAACGGCCTCCACACCGCCGTTATAGATGGCAGCATGGCGCGAAGGCATCACCTGCTCCCACAGGCCCTGTGCGTAGTTCACGACTTGGAAATAGCCGCAGGTGGAGAGGGCCCACCACACAGACCAGCAGAGCAGAGGCCGGGAGGAGTAGCACACCAGGAAATCACTCCACAGGACCTTCAGCACGAGGAGACGGCCTGGCGCGGCTTCCTGCCCAGAGAAAGGCAAGGAAGCAGCTGGGCAGAAAGCTGTTGTGTAGACTCAACTTTCTATTCAACAGACTTTTTTCTGTTTCCTTGAGAAAACCAATTGCTTCTTTCATATATGTTGTTGTTCAATTGCTTAGTTGTGTCCAACTCTTTGCAGCCCCATGGATTACAGCACGCCAGGCTTCCCTGTCCTTCGCTACCTCCCTGAGTTTGCTCAAACTCATGTCCATGTGTGTTTATATATACATGTATGTGTGTGTATGTATGTATGTATATATATATATGTATATATGTGTGTGTGTATATATATATATATATATATATATATATATATATACTTCTTAGCAATTACATTTATTCCCTCTTGGAGAAAAATATATTTTGCTTTAAATGTTCTATATGCATTAGTACCTCCAGCAAATGATACATTGTTTACAAAACGAAGGTAGAAAGATGGTCAGAGACTGCAGACATCAGTCAAAGGGAGATGACATTCCACATCTTCCCACACAGGGGCAAGCAGCATTAAGAATAAACAATAATTAGTAATCCCAGTAGGCTACAGTGCATGGCGTGGCAACGAGTCAGACATGACTGAAGTGACTTAACATCCACCAGTAAGTCACTGTTCAGATAGAGTTCATGAATGAGAACCTATCAGATTCACTGAAAGATAATGGTTAAACCACAAGTCTTAGGAAAAATTAAACCCAAATATTAGCAGCAGTTCTCTCTGGGTGAGGGGGTAATCAGTGATTTTAATTTTCTCCCTTATGTTTTTTCCCCCAGTTTGTACAGGAAACATCACTATAATAATGAAGTAACAAAGCTATTATGCATGTAACTGAGTCAATCAAAATATGACTGAGCCATGTTCCATTATCCCTGGACTATGTCACGAAGTCAGTTTGAGAGTCCAGACACCATACTCAAATATGCAATACAGTATTACTAACTACAGTCAGCATACTGTACATTACATCCCCACAACTTATTTATAACTAGAACTCGGTACCTTTCGACTCCCCTTTACCCATTTCGGTTTTTTTCATACAAACTTTTGGGCCAACTCCAATCATATCAAAGGTCAATCTACCAAAAGTTGCCATTAAGTTCGGAACCTTGCTCAGAATATAGGAAATTTTGCAGCTAACACAGGTAGGCAAAATGAGAGAATCCAGAGACCAAGAGGAAGCTAACTATGAAGCAGCATTCAAGAGGAAGGATGTGAGACAGAAGCCCTGTTATAGATTATCTGCATGGATGGCAGCAGCATGATTCAATCTGCTAGTTGGCTGGCGGCCACGTCCTGCACAAGCTGCTGCTGCTCAGCTGCATCAGAGACTGAGGGTTGGGTCCGCCTCCCTGCGGCCCTAGGTACTGTAGCCTGCCAGGCTCCCCTGTCCACCGGGTTCTCTCAGCAAGAATACTGGAAAGGCAATTAGGGTTGCCATCCCCTCCTCTAGGGGGCCTTCCTGACCCAGGAATCAAACCTGCATCTCCTGCATAGCAGGCGGATTCTTTACCACTGAGCCATCGGGGAAGCCAGTCTGGAAGATGAAACTTCCTTTATTTGAAAAAATTGAGGTATAACTGACCTTCGACACTGTATTAGTTCTGGGTGTGTAACAAAATGATTCTGTATTTGTACACATTGTGAAATGATCACCACAATAAGTATAGTCAATATCTGTCACCGTACATAGCTGTAATTTTTTCTTGTGATGAGAATTTTGAGATCTAGCAACTTTCAAATAAACAATACAGTATGACTTACTATAATCACCATACTGTACATTACATCCTCATAGCTTAGTTACAGCTAGGACTTAGAACATTTTGACTCCCCTTTCTTTACCCATTTGCTTATCCCCTAGCCCCTGCCTCTGGCGACCACCAATCTATTCTCTGTATTTATGAGCTTGAGGTTTTTTTTGCTTTGTTTTTAGTTTCCAAATATAAATGCAATCATATGATATTGGGTTGGCCAAAGGTTTGTTCAGATTTTTCCATACAAACTTTTTGCCCAACCCAATATTTTTGTGTGTCTTACTTCACTTAGCATCCATCCAAGTCCATCCACGTTGTTGCAAATAGCAAGACCTCATTCGTTTTTCTGTGGCTGTATAATGTTCCTGTGTGTGTATATATGTGAGTATACCACATTTTCTTTACCCATTCATCCACTCTTGGACACTTAGGTTGTATTCACATCTTGGCTATTATAAACAGTGCTGCAATGAACTGGTAGGTGTATCTTTTTGAGTTAGTGTTTCCATTTTCTTTGGATATGTAGCCAGGAGTAGAACTGTTGGATCTTGTGGTAGCTCCAGTTTTAATTTTTTTAGGAACTTTCACACAGTTTTTCATAGTGACAGCACCAATTTACATTTCCACCAACAGTGCAAAAGGGATTCCTTTTCTCCATACCCACACATTTCTTATTTTTTTGAAAATAGCCATCCTAACAGGTGTGAGGTGATAGCTCCTTGTGGTTTTCGTCTTCATTTGGTTGATGTTTTTCTTTGGCATGCAGAAGCTTTTTAGTTTGATGCTGTCCCACTTATTTTTTGCTTTTGTTATCAAATTAAAAAAAAAATCATTGCCAAGACAGATGTCAAGTTTATCACTTATGTTTTCGTCTAAGCATTTTTATGGTTTCAGGTTTTATATTCAACTCCAAGTCATTTTATGTTAATTTCTGTGTAGTCCCTTCTCTTTAAACAGAACCTTTTAATAGTTATAGTTAAGTGTTTACAATATCAAGTTAAATAATTACTCTTTTCTTAGCTCAGTTGTATATATGCAGAAGGAGATTTGTCTGTAATCAACCAAGGATGGAAATTTTCAAGAGTAAGTCTTCTGTTAAGTGCTTTTGAAGGACACAATCCTAATTCTTGCTGTAAACAGTGAACAATTCTTTTATGATGAAACTAAGACTATCATTATTTCCTCAGCTATTGATATTTCACCATCCAAAATGGTTAAAATGTATACAATGAGGGACAGATAAAAGTACACCTAGTTTCAAGGAAAGGAACCAAATATATATCATGGAAGAATGTTTGAGACACACTTTGGGAGACACAAGATTAGAATAGAGCAATACTGATGAACAACATTCAAAGGAAACAAGAACAAAAGGACAGAAGGTGGCACTTTTGAGGTGTGTTTATGAGTCAGCAATGATAGAGTTCTCTTCCAACAGAAAAGGCTTCTGGGACACACTTTCCTGCTCTGGCCTGCTGTGCACTTATCTTATCCTAGGCATACTCATTCTTGGCTCAGTCTGGTCTCTCATAGTGCCCTAATTCATAAGCCTGAAAGTGAAGCACTGGAGACCTGTTAAGAGCTGGCACAGAGATCTGCCTTTGGCTGCTCTTTTTCAGGGGGGATGACACCTATCTAAGTTTCAAGGGCATTAAGCTGCAGAAGGGAGGGGCTACACATCCTCCCCTCCATCCCAACTCAGACATATCTTGGTAGGGGTCCAACTGGAGACAATCAGGGAAACGCTGTGACCACAAATGAGGGGGGAAAAAGTAGAAAAGGTCAAAAGACAAACTCTGTCCCTCACACAAGTCTCTCTGATTCCAGCTTTTAGCACTCAGGGCCAACCTGGTGGGAAAGGCAGAGTCCGGCCCAACACAAATCTCCCACCAGTCATTTTTACCATTATGGCTTCAATTCTTTGGATTCTGAAAGCTATTCTGACATAAAAAGACATAGAAAGATGAGTATTATATTAACAATGAGTAAAAAAACAAAGTTATAAAACATGTAGATTATACTTTTGTTTACTATAAAATGAATAATACATACAACAGCAATGTTTAGAAAGGGCAATAAAATATTAACAGTGGTAATCTTTGCACCCAGCAGTTCAGATGACTTCCTTTTATGTAGTTTTCTGTATTGTTTACTTAAAAATTAAGTATGAATCTTCTAAATAAAATCAGTACAGATTTTCTTTTTCATCTTAAAATGTTTATTAGCCATATATTTTAAGAGGTGACTATTAAAATTAAGTAAATAAAGGCCATCTTCTCCCTAAAATGCTACGATAATCTCACCAGAGTAGGATCATGCAATATTTCATAGTTCTGCCTATTCACACCATCCCTCAGCTCAATTTTCACTTGTTTATCACACAGGCATTTTTTTTTTTTTTTTTTTTGGCTGCACCACATGGTTTGTGGGATCTCAGTTCTCCAACCAGGGTTTGAACATGGGCCACAACAGTGAAAGCCAAGAATCCTAACCACTAAGCCACCAGGGAACTCCCCATGGGGCATCTAATTTCAGATTTTATTTGAAGGTTTTGAAGCCTTTTTTTTAAGCTTGAGAAGTTACTACTCTGCAACAAGGGAGTCTCTACTGTAGTGGTTTTAGGAGTCAACTAGGTCTGGGATGGACATTTTGACTGCCACTTTCTAGGTGCCTTTGGGTAAGATACTTAATGTAAGCTTCTGTTCCCTCATCTGTAAAAGGGAGATAGTGGCACTTGTTTTTTTTCTTAATTGAAGGATAATTGCTTTACAGAATTTTGTTGTTTTCTGTCAAACCTCAACATGAATCAGCCACAGGTATACATGGCTTTTTGAACCTCCCTTTTGAACCCTCCCTTTTGAACCTCCCTCCCATCTTCCTCCCCATTCTACCCCTCTAGGTTGATAAAGAGAGCCCCTGTTTGAGTTTCCTAAGACATACAGCAAATTCCCGTTGGCTATCTATTTTACACATGGTAATGTAAGTTTCTGTATTACTCTCTCTCCATACATCTCACCCTCTCCTCCCCTCTCCCCATGTCCATAAGTCCATTCTCTATGTCACTTTCTCCACTTCTGCCCTGCAAATAAATTCTTTGGTACCATTTTTCTAGGGCTTCCCTCACAGCTCAGTTGGTAAGGAATCCGCCTGCAATGCAGGAGACCCCGGTTCAATTTCTGGGTCAGGAAGATCCGCTGGAGAAGGGAGAGGCTCCCACTCCAGCATTCCTGG